TTTAGTGTAAATCGAATCAGGCAAATGGAAATTCGCTTAGTCAGCAGGTTTGCTGCGGCGGGGGTATATTTCCTATATTACAGTTTTGATTGAATTTATATAATTTTGTTTGTAAAAAATTGAAATGTAAATGTCTTTTGCAGATAATCAAGCTAATGTTTCCCTAATTATTAAATATTTTCAATGTTATATGCACGGTCCCCAATTCTTTCAAAAGTAATTACTGTACATAGAAAAAACCAATTTCAAGAAAACAGACTACTTGAAACTATAATACCACTGAGTTAATACCACTTTAAAGATGTTTTAATACCTTCATTGATTAAATATTTTGAGCTTGTCCACTTTTCAAAACTCACAATTCACAGCAGTTATAAGAGATCAATGTGGTTTGGTCCAGCAACAACGTAACATAGACCAAAGGAAACAGGTGAAAGTGAACAGAGGACGTACAACATTTAAGTAGGTATAATCAGGCAGAAATTATCTTAGTTTGGCAAACAGAAAAATTGGGGCACAGGATGTGAACGTGAACAGCACAAATAGTAATTTGCAAGAACTGAGCGACAAATTCTACAACTTCCGGTTGAATTATTGACTTCCCTAGGTTATTACATTTATAAAGAGGGAAAGTACTGTAACTTCAATTGACTATGGTAGGCACATATTATTATTGTGGATAAACTTTTGAAAAAAGTTAGTAGCTTCAAGGGAAACTGCGTGGTAATTTTAACTAACAATCAAAAAATAATACTTACTCCTCATAAAAAAAATTAAAAACACTTTGTTCTAATGTGATCAAGTGTTTTTATTTTTTTTTTTATGAGGACCGCTAAAAAATAGGTTTGCATTTATTTATAAAATTGATTGTTTTTGTAAGGGACCTCACTGTTAAGGGGGCAATGTACGGTACCCAAAAATACTTTTTCTTTATAAATGGCCTAAAAAAAGTTTTATTGATTAAAGTGTATCCTAGTGTATAACTGAAAAAATATATGGTATGAACCCCCCCCCCTTTCTCTTTCGGGCGAAATATGTTTACGTTTTACAGCATAACTCCTTTTTGTAACTTTGTTTCAAAGCTAATAAATAGCCTTACAAACTGTAGCATGGCTTTTGATATGCAATGAAAAATAGATAAGGGACATTTTATTTTAATTTTTTGACAAAATTTTGTTTATACAAAAATATGTAAGGAGTATGGTTAACAATATGTAAATTTCCATGCTACTGTTTGTGCACAATATATTGAAGAACATATGCACAAAATGACTTATCTCGCTAAAAAAATAAAAAAGTTATGCTGTAAAACGTGATGGAAAACACAAATACACTAGCTTAAGAAAAAAAGTTAAGTTTTTTTTTAATAAAGTTTTTTGGTTACATTGCTTTCAATAGGCGAAGCAGAAAAGCCAGCTGTGCGCGCTTATGAAATTTAATCTAAAAAACACATTTTGAATATTAAAAATACAAAACCAATGCTTGATACTTGTTCCTAAATTGTTTAAGAAACAAATAAATAAATAATTTTTTGGGTACATTGCCCCCTTAAGTTTTATAAGATTTCGTCAATGCCTTATGTAATAGTATATATTAAAATCAAAGTATATTGATACCAAACTACTAAATCTGTACAAATCCTTATACAGTATATTTCCACTAACTAAAGGACTAAAAACACAGAAAACGTAATACTATAATGGTTATAGTAGTACGTTTTCTGTGCTAAAAATCACTAGTCATAACCTCCGAGAGAGGTTATGTTTTTGTTTATAACCATTCATTGCCACCTAAATACAATATAATCAGCTGATTGGTGTCCGTAAAACTCATTACAGTACAGTAGTACCATTGACTTTATATCTACACAAAGATATGTGTAGATATAAAGTCAATGGTAGTAGGTACGAAACCACATTTGAATAAGCTGGCGGCAAACAGCTGTTTTCCTGGACTAAATCCTTGCGTGGGAAGTTCGTCAAAATAATGTAGTGTGGCGTAAAGATAATTAAGTCACGAAAAATGAAAAGTCATTCCTCTTTTTATACGAAACTATGGGATTCTATATTCAGATCAAAGGTTTTCTGCCTGATTTAACCTAATACTAGGTTTTCTGCCTAATGTTAAAGCTTTAAGAGATTTAGACTTGAGCTTAGCTAATGTTCATTGTCATGATTAATGGTAAATAACTCTGTCTCTCTGAAACAAAATATTCAGTTAAAATAACTACCCAATTCACGTTGTGGATGAAAAGGTCCTCTAGATTCCCTAGGAATCATAAAATGTCAGTAGTAATTTCATTTATGTAGTGCAATCCATTTAAGTCACTGAAGGGATAACAGAAAAGAGGTAACTCGTAGATTTTCATTAGGAAAATATCAGTTTGCATTTAAAAAAATACATCATATGATTAGAGATTCCAAATATAAGCCAACTCCTATTTTTTTGGTAATTTTTTTTTAATGCAGTTTTCTTTTCAAAATGTTTTCTGTTAGTTGTATACGGTAATCTCTAATCTGACACTGAAACTTCTTGAATCTTAACAATCACTGTCATGAGTACCAGTGAAAGACAATTTAATCATTCATCCATAAGATTTCCCTGATTAGTGAATCAGAGCTATTATCAGTATACCTAATCTACTATCTAATATTACCGTAGGCAAAGTAAGACCCAGGACCCAGGATTGTGTCTGTGAATACAATAACTGAAGTCATTTGGGTCTGTATTTATTTGAGTAAATTTGGCTTGAAGGCATAGAGCGGGATTAACTTAATTAATTGAACAAAATAATTTATAAATAAAAATACTTTTTAAAAATAACACGTTTTTAAACGCACTTAAAAGTATAAAATAATGTATAAAATGTTGAGAGAATAAATACTTATAAGATTTAAAACGAAAAACGTGGGGCGCACGCTGATTTACAATCAACTTCACCTATTGAACTATTATGATCTATTGCATGCGCCCCACGTTTTTAGTTTTAAATCTTACAAGTATTTATTCTCTCAACATTTTATACATTATTTTATACTTTTTAGTGCATTTAAAAACGTGTTATTTTTAAAAAGTATTTTTATTTATAAATTATTATCTAGTTTTTAGTCTTTAATTTGTAAATATGTTAAATCTATTTTATATAGCCTCTTAATGCATAACCAAAACCTTATTATCTGTAATCAGATGTATTATCTTTACTTATGATTGTTTTATATTTTTAGAATATCTCGGGAGCAGAACCTGTACCTTTTAACCTCTGCTCTTCTAACTGTCAAATTTAAGTACAGCTGACTTAAATTAATTTATATATTTACATTCTTTTAAAATGTAAACATGGAAAATTTGGAAGCCAAAGGGGCGTAGCCCAAGGGAAATATGAAAATTAAATTATATAATATTGCATTGTCATCCATTTGTGAGCTATGTTTCAAGTTTCAAGTCTCTAGCTCATCGGAAACTTCGTTTAAAATTGATATTAAAATTTGTAGGAAAGCGAGCTAATAAAAACAAGCCCTTGGGGCGTAGTCCAAGGGAAATATGAAAATTAAATGATATAATATTGTATTGTCATCCATTTATGAGCTATGTTTCAAATTTCAAGTCTCTAGCTCATCGGGAAGTATCAAAATTTGTAAGAAAGCGATTTAATAAAAACAAGCCCATGGGGCGTAGCCCAAGGGAAATATGAAAATTAAATGATATAATATTGCATTGTCTTCCATTTGTGAGCTACATTTCAAGTTTCAAGTCTCTAGCTCGTCGGGAAGTTAGTATACAATTGATTTCAAAATTTGTACCGGACAAGAAAGCGAGCTAATAAAAACGTTTTAAAAAACCAGCAGGTTCAAGTCAAAACGACATGGGGGAGTTTGAAATTTTTTCAGATTGATTTCTTTCTAATCTTTACACTTAAAACCTAACAAGGTAATCTCAAATTTTCATTACAGCCATTTTGTTGAGCTTAAAAAAACTAATAATTTTGTATGATGTTGTTGTACAATTAAATGTTATGGAGAAAACTCCAAACAAACTGTAGGCTTACATTTTAAATTTTCAGGTTATTCTAATGGAGAAAAATAAAACTAGTCTAAGTCTACTAGTTTGCTTGTATATAAGGGTAATTTTTTAAATAAAATAACAGAAATTCTTTTCCCACAAATAGTTTTAGTTTACGATTAAAGGGTATCATGTATTTTTTACTTTAACAAAATTATACAACTCCTAAGAGGCTACAAAAATACTGGTTGGAAAGTTATTTCTAGTTTCGTCGGTGGCGCACCACAGACTTCAGACCCAAGGCAGCAATGTCATTATGTGGACGGACAAATGCAAGCTTAAACGAGGCTGACCTCATTTTATCAAATAAAGTAAATAATAAAATATGAAATTATTAATATGTTCAATTTTAATGTAAAGCCAATTAATTGTAAAAAGTATTTGGTTTAAAAAGTATAAAGGGATTTTTGTCACTTGTCTGGTCAATATGTGACTTAGGCCGACAGGGCGTTTCTGGCATTCAGTTAATTTACAACTTAGACTGTAACCCAGTCAAGGTCAAGCTTCTTGGTACAATGAATATCCTGGGCAAACTGTTGTACACAGGAACACAGGTCACACTGTCCTCAACCTCAACCTTGGGGTGGCTGCAGGCAGGTGCTACTCTGAATGGGCGACATGCATCCTAGACTTCTCCTTGTTGAGTGTGTCTGCCCACACATCTGCATGTGTCTTTTACATCGAGCGCGGATATAGAGAGCCTTATACGACTGGACCAAGGATCTCCAATATTGGCCATTAACTGGCTAAGGGAAGAAACACCCTTAGAGACCTTGTCTGTTGTACTGAAGGTCTGGTGCCACCAGCTTGTTATTCACCATACTTGAGGGCACAAACGGTTTGGAGTTTGTAATCTAGGCCCGTTTGCTCTAACTCTGGGCACTGAACAAGTTAAAAACTAACAAAAAACATCCAGAGGTAGGTAATAAAAAATGTAAGACTTGTACAAACATTATTTTACTTATGATAACTCTTTGTAACAATCCCTCTAACTAGGACAAACTTGAACCAATCAGTAGGAATACATTTTAAAACCTGCAATGTTAACAAATGTGCTTAATCTGTTGAAATAAGACTTTTTCTGATATAGTACATAGCTCATGTGTTCAGAATCGCTTCAAAGATTCAAACAAAACTGTCTTTGCCATGGAATAGTTCAGCTCTATTATAAGAAAAGAGAGGCATGTGGTGTAAGTATGATTTAGTATCTGTAATGGTCAGGTTTAAAAGGACCTTCCTGAGCAATGCCAAGGTAAGAAGCTTGTTCTGATGACAACTTGGTCAACTTGACACCAAGATGGTCCAAATGCAGCCTTGCAACCTCCTCGTCCAGCTGAAAAAAAATAGTTTTTAATCAATTTATAAATGTAATGAGAACACGAGGCCTTATCTAACAAATGACTAACATACCAACCACTACTTAAATAGTCTTGAAAAACTTAAACTAGGGCAATATTAAAATCATGCTGAGCCAACACCCTAGACTATTAAATAAAGACAAAAACAAGATAAGATGGATCATTTTAGTCTACACTATCTAAAGTATGAAATTATATTTTGTTTGAGTTTGACCTGAGCAATACTTGACACAATCATGTTAATATCAAAACATCTTAAAGGCAAAAGGTGATGCAAGGCAGTAATGCCTGAGAGGAAATTCCACTACTATTGTTCATGTTCTGGAGGCGACTAGGTCCAGCTGGAAATGGTGGTCGGCATTCATTTCCTAGGTTATTGTTGATCATTGGTATTAGTAAAATTATTATTTTAAGTTCAAATATTAATTTTTAAAAATCTCAACGTCTTGCTATTTTACTTTATTTTCAACAGAAATATTCAAAACAACGTAATTGTTTTTTTTTTTTTTTTACTCAAATTTAAGATAAGTATAATAAATATCAAGGCCTTAACGACCATGGATAACAAAAGGGCTCAGATAAACGGACTCTGATATTGAAAAAACACAGTATCTATAGTCTACTAACCTTTTTGGGCAACATGTAAACTCCCAGAGGGTATTCTTCAGACTTGGTCCATAACTCAATCTGCGCCAACACTTGATTGGTAAAGGAGTTGCTCATGACAAAGGAGGGGTGACCCATGGCACAACCCAGGTTGACCAACCTTCCCTCAGCCAATACAATGACATGACGGCCATTACTGAGTGTGTATCTGTCTACCTGAAACATGACAACAACTAGTCAGTGAAGGAGCTCATGTTGGGCCATTAAGAGTAGTACAAGAGGCTTGTTTTCAATGTTTTTCTAACCAAAAATTTTATTCTAGTGATCGCAGAAAGTGTCTTCAAAATGTGTTGTCAAACATTTATTGTGTTGCAATCGCTGGGGACGTTTTCTATCTTGCTTTGATAGTAGTAGACATTGATGACTCTACAACCTTTGTTCACAATTTTCCCAAGACCTTCAAAATCTGAACAGGACCGATGTTCCTAAGAATAATAAAAAAAAAATTCATTTTAAATAATTGATACATACTACTTGGTTACATACACAGTAGAATCTTGATAACATGACTCTCATAGGGATTATAAAATAAGACTTGTTATCAAGGTTGACTTCTTATTGAGGTTTGCAATAAAATGTGATTAGTACTATTAGGAGTAAAATAATTTGAAGGGGATTTCAAAATGACCCTTGTTATTGAGGGTCTAATCGAAGTTTTACTGTATTATAAAGTATATAAGGTTGGTTACTGCATCACTAAAGATATACCTGAGGTTTGATGTTGATCTTTTCCTTGGAGTTCTTCTCCAGCCAAGAGACGTCAATCTCACAGTCAAAGTGGCCGATGTTGCAGATGATGGATTCATCTCTCATTGACAAGAAGTGTTTTTCTGTAATGATATCCTTGCAGCCTGTTGTTGTAACAAAAATCTGTCCTTCCTTTGCTGCCTCATCCATGGTTGTAACCTGGAAGTTACAATACTCAATATTTGAAACTATTGTGTTGGTATTGAAGAAATATTTATTGAAGTGTTTCCTAGACCAGAAACAAGATTAAAATCAAACTTAACATTACACAATTACATCTTATGAGGGTTATTTGACTTTTGTGTAGCTTAGCTTGGAAAACCTTAAGTGAAGGAAGAACTCAAATGAGGTCCTATAATAATTGTGTGGGTGAGGTTGAATTTGCTAGTAGGGATGTACAGGTCTCGAAACTTCGAGAAATTTTCGGGACATTTTAAATCTTGTTCTACAAGAAAAGATTTTATTTTGATCAAGATTTTTTGGATACAGATTATAAAAAGAACAGTTAAAAACGCCTGCATAAAGTCAATGCAATACCCGCAATACAGGAGCACGTTGTTGCGTTTCCTTTGCAAAGGTGTTCTTACTTAATTAATTCTTAACATGTAAATATTGCTTTGATTAAAATTTTTTTTCATCGAAATGATGAGAATGTTTGTTAATTGTAAGCAGTGTAAGACATGTTTTACTACTGTTAACGTAACCAAAAAAAGTCATTCCAAAATCATTCTAAAAATAACACAAGAGTGAAATTTTTTTACTTAATACTTAACTAGTAGTAGTAAGACTGCTGTTTTAGACTAATTACTTTGGTATTTTTCAAAGTTGAACTATATCCTAACTGATGTCACCATGTTTCCTATGTGTGACAGTTGTTTTTAATAAAGTAGGCCTAAATAATATTTGCTTTTTTATACTGATGTTTTTTTACACGTCTGCTACCGCAATAGTACAACACTTTTAATTCATATGGACCAGCGACGGCTGAATTCTACCCATAGACTGCTGTTGCACATTTGCTTTGGTGTTCCAATGTTATTAAAACGCTTATATCTTTGTAACCGTCTATTTGAAGGCCCTAAATTCTCTGCAGTGGTCTACAGGGATGTCTGTCGCACATGTATTTTGCTTGGTCTGTGGATATGATGATTGGTGACGTCATATGATACAATAATTAGACAATTTACAACTGTAACAAAACGTCATTAGCCTACGTAGATTTTTATATGTGTTATTATTATCTTTAAACACCATAGCCTAATTCAAGAAAAGACTTTTAATGAACTGTTACATGTATGCAGCGTTTGGGCTATTTCAAGAAAAATATAATCATTTCAACTGTCTTCGGTTCAGGCAGCATATGGCCTTTCCCAGAATATTTCAACTGATGAATCGTTAACTTTGTGGAAAGGTCGCTTGGGGTTCAAACAGTATTTGCCATTGAAGGCTCAGTTTGGTATTAAGTCTTTTGAGATTTGTGAGTCATATTCGGGGTATTTCTGGTCATTTCTTATATATACAGGTAAAAGCATGGTTTTTGACAATCCTATTGTCCCACCAAAGTCAAACAAATACACTGCAATTGTTTTATCTCTCATGGCGCCTCTTCTCGATGAGGGTTTTTGGTTGGACACACTCTGGACAATTGGTACAATTCACCGGAACTTTCAAAGTTATTGAAAGAAAGGAAAACTGACACTTGCGGCACCTTGAAACTGACCAGGAAGTGTGTACCTGATGAAGTAAAAAGTCAAAAGTTGGATAAGGGTGAAATAGTTGTATTGCATATAGCGAAGATGTCATGATCATGAAATGGTGCGATAAACAAGTTGTCTCTCTTATTTCAATTCAACCTTCCATTCCCATGAAATGGGAGTGAAAACTAGCAAGAGTGGTAAGCAAGAAATTAAGCCAGTTTTGGTACTTGACTATAATAAACAAATGGGAGGGGTTGACTTGAGGGATCAAATGCTACACGGTTATCAGCTTGAAAGAAAGAGGGGGCAGAAATGGTATTTACAAATTTTCAAAAGACTGCTAAATGTTACTGTTTTGAATTCCTATCTCATTTGGAAATGTACCAACCAAAAAAGTGAACATTTTGCCTTCAGATTAGAACTGGTAAAATGTTATTTGAAACCTATGGATCCCAAGAGCAGAGAAATGCAAGTGGTAGACCATCAATTGAACCCAAACCAGCTCGGCTAACTGAAAGACATTTCCTTTACCTCATTCCACCTACTGCAAACAAAGTGAATGCTCAAAAAGAAGATGTTGTGTCTGTTCCAAAAGAGGAAGTAGAAGGGACACTAGGTACTGGTGCCCAAAATGTGAAGCTGGACCATGTTTGCGAGAATGTTTCGAAGATTACCACACAAAACTCAACTTTTAAGGTATGAAAAACTTGTATAACTGGCCTAGACTTTTAATGTATTATATATTTTTTTAAAGCCAGTAATTTGCTGTTTAATTTGATGAAAGAATTGTTAAAATATAATTATAAATAACAAATAGGAAAACTACCTATTATAAGCGTTTATTTTACAAATGTTCCAAGCCTGCTGGAAAACCAAAAAACCCACGCAGCAGGGTTGGTCTTTATTAAAAAAAACTTGCGCGTTGAAGGGTTAAAAGTGACACAGCCTATTGCATTGCTGAATGGCCAAATAAATCATTGAAGGATGGATGGGTCCTTGACATCAAATAACGATCCCTGATTAAGCGATTTTAGTAGTTATGATGACATCTTGACACATTACATATGGCAAAATGTATAAATACTTCAATATTGATTTTCTACTGGTAGACATATCAGACATATGCCATAAAACCCTACATATTTGTACAAACTGCCTTGAAACTCGGCCTAAATAGATGTTTGCAATTTCCTAACCTAACAGTTAAATTTCCAGTACTCAAGATATGTAATTTTTTACAATTGTTTTATTTAGGGAATGTGCTATTACCAGTCTCATGGTAGGATCTCGCCCCAGGACCGATTTTCTTTTTAATTTTGGAACCCCAGAGGTCAAAAACATCGTACACGTACATATTCAGTCAGGTTTGCTGCAGCGAGGGTATTATTATTCATGATTGTTTTTTTTTGCCTAAGTATTTTAACCCATTGTTGGTTTGTAAACAGTGTAATAAAGACTGCAAAATTAATTTTCTTGGTTATTATTCTCATTTTGAAGAATTTATTCTCAAAATTTATAAATCTAGCCTAACTAATGGTTTTTTAGTGGCATGAGAAGAATATTCCATCCCGTTCCTATCCTGAAAATGAGGAGGAAAGGAAAAATTCTCCCTTATCTCCAAGTAAAAGTACAATAATGTCCATCAAAGCTACTGAGCTCTACATATCCCAATAGTTGCCACACAAAAGCCGCTAACATTACTAACCTCGTATCCCTCCATGGAGGCTTGCAGTGCATTGATAGGATCAATCTCTGTGACGATGACTCGACCACCGAATGCCCGCAGACTCTGAGCACAGCCCTTGCCTACGTCACCGTAGCCAGCCACTATACACACCTTGCCAGCCAACATGATGTCTGTCGCTCGCTTGATACCATCTATCAGTGATTCTCGGCAGCCGTACAGATTGTCAAACTTACTCTGCAACAAGTGACCACTTGGAGAGTTTAGCAGGCAGGATTATTTATTAAAATATTTCTTATTATTCAATAAAACTGTAAAAATGCACACACCAATCAATTAGGTTGTAGAATAAAGCGTTTATGTAAATAAGTGTCTGCAAGAGCTATTTAAAAATAAACCTGGGATTAGGCTAGTATTTAATGGTACCAACACACCAGGACCAGGGTAAGATGAATGTAGTACCCGCAAGGGTCTATTCTTGGTCCATTGCTTTTCCTGTGCTATGTTAAGGACATGGACAAATCACTTTCATGCAAGCCTATCAGTGAACTATGCCTGTATGCTGATGATTCTAATTTACTCATTTCAACACCTAAAATAGAACAAACGGAAATGGTTGCTTTCATAGAACTTGGAAACCTTGGAGATTACTTAACGTATCAAAATTTAACATTAAATCATGATAAAACCAATTTTATTACATTTACCCTAATACAAATTTTCTTGGCCTGACTATCGATAAACACCTTAATTGGAATGAACACGTAAACAAGATCTTGACAAAAATGAACTCTGGAATTCATGCGCTTTCAAAACTGTCTTTTTATTGTAATTTAACAACATTGAAAAATATTTATTTTGCTTACATACATTCTCATATTTCTTTTAGTATTTGTTTATTTGGAGCAACAAAAAAAGCAAATTTGGATGGTACGTTAAGACTCCAAAAGAGGTCTATAAGAGTAATGCTGAAATTGAATCATGATGATTCGGCCAGAGAACATTTCAAACAGTTAAAAATACTGACGGTTTATGGCCAATATGTTCTTGATGTCATTTTGTGTGCAAAGAACAAAATTCTTAATGATGTCCCTCACGTACACACACATAATTATAACACTAGAAAAAAGAACTCTATAAGGCAAAATCAGCACAGACTGAAGCTCTATGAAAACAAACCAACATATGTTGGTGAACAGTTTTTAAAATTAATTCCAGAAAATATTAATAAAGAAAAAAATTCAATTAAATTTAAAAGACAACTGAAAGCTTATTTAATTAACGAGGTAATTTACTCGCTGGATGAATTTCTAAACCTCCCTCTTAAATAAATAAACTAATAACTAATATGAATGTACCAACAAAGCTTCCTAAGATGAGTTGTAGGAAATAATGTTAATTTATAGTTATACTTTTTCATACCTGTATTTTGACACTATTTATGTATGTTATATGCTACTTACAAATAAAGATTATTTGAATTTGAATGTAGAATAAATTAAATGACACTTTTGTTACTGAATAAGATCAACTGCGTCTTTCAATAACAATATATATATCTATATAAATAAAATTAGAGTTTTGTCTGTACATTGCTCAGAATCATAAACTTTTAGGTTATTTTTACGTTTTATACATTAAAGAAACCGAAACAAGTCTCATCTAAATTTCTGTCTGTCTGTCTGTCTATCTTCCTGTCTGTCACGGCCCAAGAGGCATTTTACCCGGCCTTCTCCTGAAAAATGAGAGTACCTATCAAGTTCCAAATCATTTTAATGTATTCACTGGATTGGCAAGATTGTCTTTAGCCATTAAAATATGGCATCACTACTTTGTAAATAAAATGACGGACGTTTAAAAACCCAATTTTGTGTGATTTTTGTAAAGTTTTCTCCCAATGTTTATCACATATTCATCATGAAATAACGAACAGCTGTTCGAATCAAGATTATTTCTTCTAGCTGTAACTGATATGTTTACATTGAATGTTGTTTACAAACACCGCAACCATTTCCAATCACGTTTTGAAAGCAAATCCAAACCAAGTAAGATTAAAAACGTTTTTCCTTACATAATGGATTTAATTAATCGCAAGTGCAATAATTTGTAGGGTAACCGTAAATGAAAATAGAGTTTCTTTGTGTATAAAATTGTTCTAAAATATTCAACTACATCAGAATCCTCATTGTACAAAACGTACCATGCATCTTCACCTCAAATATTGTTTTTGTGGACATCACTCACTCACTATCTCTAAAGCTAGAGATGTGTCTCTCAATAAGCAAAAGCTAAAAAGTTTCTGAGGTATATTCAACCTACCTTGGTAACAGAGTCGTTGACGTTGATCGCAGGCACTTTGAGCGTTTTGCTCTTGAGCATCTTGTAGAGGTTATGTACTCCAGTGGTGGTTTCTTCTGAGATTCCCTTGATTCCAGGAAGATATTGCGGATATTTTGTGTGGACGAGGTTTGTCAAATCGCCTCCGTCATCCAGAATCAGGTTTAGAGGCTGAGGTAAAACAAAAAAGCAACAGGAAACAATTAATTTTTATTGTAGAATAATTCAATCAATTCCATTTAACGTGAGTGTAGAAGATTTAACTGACTGATTTCTTTAGCTGGATGTTACCTACTCTAAATGAAAACACAGATTCAACTACTTCTATGAGGAAAAAAACTTATGCAGCTGATTTTACCTATCAACAATGCAACACAGCCAATCAAAATTACTTATACAGTACTTATGTAGGTACATGAAATTACATTTATTTTAGATACTCTGATAAACACTTTGTCCATTACCTGCGGTTGTTTTAGAAATAACTGTCAGTGGTCATTAAAAAAAATTATATAACATTTTATTTAAGGCCAAACACTGAATAGAGAACAGCCATAGCAAATTGATGATACATCTGTTTGAAATATCATTGGAAAGACATATCGGTAAAGAGTAATGGAAGTAAAAACTTGTAGCTTTTTAACACAACCATAACGGGATTGGAGGATAAAATCTTGTAGTTGATCACAACCTGAGACTAATTAACCCTTAGATAACATTTTCCTGTTATATGACCTGGCAGTATATAGCCATGTACAAATATGAGAAAAGAAAATATAATTAGCAATCCTAGAATGGTAAATGTGAAAGTGTGAAATCTACAGTAGAAAGTAGATTAAATTGTGAGTTCTAACAATAGCTAACTTTTGGAAATTCCATTGCCATTGTGAAATCTTCTATATACGGTAGACTCCATCTTAACCGGATACCCATTAACTGGACTACACTCGGCGAAAATAACATCTCTTTAACCGGACATTTTTTATCAGCACATCGGTTTAACCGGACTAGATTGGCAGGAAGTGGGAGTGGGGGGTTCTCATGTGAAAGATTTGAGACCAGTGATCATGTCCCTAAATACAATTCTCTCCTACATTTAAGTCAAATACTGTATACAGTATGCATTTAAACGGTCAGTTTAAACAAGTTTTTGGAGATATCAGTTTAACCGGAAAAACCGTTATCCAAGATGTCTGGATAAGAGGGAGTCTACGTATATGATACGTTTAGTCGTTTTTTGTGAACAGAACTCCTTCCTCGTTTTAAGACCGTTTTTGATGATTAAAGAGCCAAAAAATGGCCCTGATCTGTAGTTTTGCAAAGTGGTTTTCATTTTTTGAAATCTTCATTAGTTTGGGCAGGACGTTCCATCAAAGTTGGGTCTTCTCTCATAAGGTTAACATGGGGGAATCTATAAATTTAATTGGAAACTTTGTCTACACTAATTTGAGAGAACGGATGGGTGTAGAAGCTTGGTAGATTTGTCTTAAGAAAGGTCTTGGAATTTAGATGAGCCATCAAAAGAAAAACAAAGTAAATTCCCTCGGGGCTATGCCCCATTGACATTTTAAATTCCCTCTCCAAATGTGTTTGAAATTCCATTTGCATTGTGAAATATAGTTTAAAAAGTTCCAGGCTATAACAAAAACCTTCTAAAAAAAAACCTGTTTGATGTATAGTATTTTGAGTTTTAAAACCCATAAACTTCTGAAAACACTGTAGGCCTTAACTATGGAACAAAACCGTGTGATGGTAGGCCTACACTAGAACTGAGTTTTAACCAAAATAAAGATTAACAAAATGTATGTTAGCAAAAGAAGAAAAGGAATGTTATTAACTGGTAGTCACTGAGCACACAATGCAAACTGCATAAACGCACGACACAACTGCATTTAAAACCTCTGTGGAAAACAAAAATGGAAGACTCAAAGACGGTAGAACTGCAGCTGCTTATGCATCGTCAATCTACATAGGCCTAGGCATAAACTTTAATCAAAACTAATTAAAATACTTGAAAAATACCTTTTTAAAGCAACTTTCATTGTTGAAAAATGACTCTCCCACTAAAAAGTCCTTTCTTTATTTTAATTAAAATAGGTAGGTAATGTATTTTGATTATTTATAACCATGTAGCCTACCTGGCCGTCAGGGAAGACGATGGTTTGGTCTATACACCAGATGTATTCCTCGTCAGTTTCTCCTTTCCAAGCATACACGGGCACTCCTGTTTTGGCTATGGCTGCGGCTGCGTGATCTTGTGTGCTGAATATATTACAACTTGACCACTGCACCTGTACGATCATCAGTAAAACACAGTTAAAATGTTTGTGTTTACGACAGTGGGCCAGTGGAAATTTTGGTTAAAGAACCACGAATGCTTTTAAAGATGTTCATGTACAAGGGAACTCTGGTGATGAGCTTATTAGTTCCCCAACTTGTCTAGTATGCCATTGCTGCTGTTTTTAGCACAGTGATTTGCGCAGCATAGTGGCCATGGAAGACGACTTCCTAAAATAGAGGTAAGTTATAAATTTCCTGGTCAATGGAAATAAGATGTTAACTTCCCAAGTATTTTGAATTTTATCTCTTGGTGACAAGCTTATTAAAATTAAGTGGAATTTTTTCATTTAACCCTCAATCTATATAAATAAAATTAGAGTTTTGTCTGTACATTGCTCAGAATCATAAATATTTAGGTTATTTTTACGTTTTATACATTAGAGAAGCCGAAACAAGTCTCATCTAAATTTCTATCTGTCTATCTGTAACACTCAAGATGGCATTTTACGCAATCTTCTCCAGGAAAACAAGACCCTCAATGTTTTCTAAAAAAGAAAAACTAATTTATAAACTTGATATTTTTTTATAAATGAAGCAAGAGTATAATAGGAGATCCCAATGTTATTTTTTTAAATAATTTTGTGTTTAAGAGATATAAAATCTGGAAAGTAGCCTACACAAAATGTAACCACCATGGAATGTCCCCTCCCCACCTATGTTTTTTACAACACTGACAAGTGATTTATAAAAAAAAAACAAAGAATAATTATATAACAAATTCTCAATGTCAATTATAAAAGACATAAAACCCACAGGATGTTCAACCTAGACTTAATTATAACAATATCTAATTAGTTTGAAAAAATAGCCTAATTTAAGGACAAAAGTTGTCCACAGGGTTGGATATAACCTCCATAGACCATAAAAGTTCTTCAAATGCTCACTAGAGAGCAGCACTGTAAAAAAAATATATTTACAACATTTAAAGGATATCATTGAAGCTGTTTTTGAGATCTTTGTGCAAACATACATAAAAGAGTATGTACATAGGATACAGTACAAGGTGTATTTACATTGTAATAAAGTAGGGTAATAACTTAGTATTTGTATTGAACAATTTCTTGGATAGTTTATAAAAAAACTAAAAACTAAAAAAACTTGGTTATATGTTTTATAAAAAAAGTTCATAAAGTAAACAATAAAAAACCTCAGTAAAGTAGTATGAACAGCATTTTTTTCATACTACACACAGTAGCCTACATCTGGCGAATTCCAACTTTTGACAGTGATATGGTTTGTTCTTTACCATGACTGAAGCAAATTACATCTCGCCACACACAACTGTACGCGACCGAATATCACTTCATGGCTCTCATGGAAAGCGCTCAATCCACTAGTGGTTATATATCGATGGTCATACTTGAGGGCAAATGCGTTGATGCCGTTACGCCAACACTGGGTGCCGCCATACGTAGCGTCTCCCAGGCGCATTTGCCGTTGTGCACTTATTTTATTTCCAAGATGGACACCATCCAGTTGGGTTGAGTAAGCTTTTTGAACATTTTAGATATTATCGAAGAGTACAATCGGAATAATCCAAGATGATGGGGAACCCACCTGTTTTTTCTTCACGAGGACAGTTTTATCTAGTTTTATTTATATAATGTTTTAGGAACACAGGAAGAATGAAAAGAAACTCTATCGTTACTATCAAATGTTATTCCAGCATTGTGTAAAAATAAAAATTAGTTAATTAAACCTAGCGTTTAAAAGGGTTAATAACTTATTATAAATTCAAATGTTTTTCCAAACTTAAATGAATACAAGATAAACTTAAGATCATATTAATGAATAAAATATACTTTCATTCTCAAATAATAGAGAACAGCATTCCTACTTAAATTTATAACAAGGTCGGGATAAATTAATGAGAGAACGAGATAAATTCTTATCAGTCCAATACAAAATGTCACTAAACTATAAAATCAAAAAAGCCTACTTTTAGGTGGTCTGATAGTTCAATCAAAAGTTTATGTAACAGAATTATTAAATTTGATGAAATATTAGCTGTACTATGATATGTTGAGAGTTTATCAAGAGGCCACTACAGATAACAGAGTACAATAGTTAAAAGCAAAACATTCGTCCAAATCTGTGAAACTTGAATAGTTATCAACCTTGACAAACTTGATTTTTGTTCTTTATTTTTCATGAATCTGGCAATGGAAAAGAATTAATCTGTTTACACCTATTTCCTTAACTGTAGCAAACAGTTAACTAACGATTTTAGTTTTTAGTATTAAAAATGTCAGGCCTGCCTAATCTGCTAAGTTTGGGATTAATATTTTATTTTTACAAAATTCAATGGCAGTTCCAGGTTTACTAGATTCATCATTGCGAATTGTCAAGTCCAGACTCAAAAGACCATTTTATTAGTAGGCTATCTAGGCTAGGCCCTACTTCTTATGAAGTACTGTACCACATTATAGGCTTAAGCCTTGAAGTTCTTGTGAAACAAATTTTATTTAAAATTTTAGATAGGTAGACCAATAAAATAAAATTATCAACACTAGCAAACCTATAGGCTATTTTTAAGCTTGATATATCATAATCTTCTGTAGGCTAAGTCAATAAGATGTGGAAAAATGTTTAAGAGCTTTATTTTTTATTGAATCAATGTAACTTAAACTTAGGTTCTATGTGTGTGCTGTATGTTTAATGTTTGCTTATTACTCACGTTTATTTTTAAGCTAAGCCCACAGGTATTTTTGCACATGGGACCAAGACCAAGACTAAGAATTTCCTACTGCAGACTGGATTATTTAAGTAACATAACCAAAATCTTAAAACTGATATATGAATTTTATTTACATCTTTTTGAATTCAGAATTTAGAGTTTGTAAACACTTTCTATCCCCAGACAATAAAAAGAGTCGATAAAACTGGCCTATATTATTTCAGGTAGGCCTAAATAATGTTAAATTTAAATTTAATTATTCAACTTAGACCAGGGCTGTTTGACTTAACTGGTTAACTTATTTTTGTGGAAACAAAATGAATCATTAATACATAGTACAATTCAATTAATTATTTATTGATCTGCTTGTAATCCACACTTTAGAATATTTTAGTGGCAGCTGGATATTCAAAACAAACATTTCGATTCTCCTTATTTAAATACAACTACAGTAATTACGTAAAAATAAACAAATATCTTTGACGGTACGGTACCTATCATGATGTTAAAACAGTTGCTGCATACCTTCTCTGAGCTGACCTTCAAAGGACCAAGCCCCTAACCTCGTAGGTCAGTTAAAAATTACGTAGGCTAATTTTACAGCTTTGTAAACATTGAAAATTCTTCATGTGATTTTTATCTGATACTATCCCTTTGCCCATGCGTTTTAACCCAGAATAAACCCTGCAGACTATTATACCTATTACAACTAGGCCTATGATATGTATCATTGTCATTTAGGGCCTTCCATTTCCATTGTACAATGGATATGGAAAGCCTTTAATGACAAAAAAATATTCTCGGCAGATAAACCGAGCTGTATTTTTACTCTTACAGAGGTGGTTTACCCAAGTAGCGGTTGATCAAGGATCAGTTAAGAGAGAGAAGGTCGAGGTTTATACTGTACAAATTTAAGCCCTGCACACACCAGAGCGATACTCATGCGATACTGGAGCGGGCGCGATACTTTTACTTGGTAACTCTCTTGCGATACCATTGCGGCTTATGGAGCTGAACACACCAGAGCGAACTGCAATACGCGATACCGAGACGAATGCGATACCGTTAATAAAATGAAGGCTCAATAGAGCAATCGGGGAATTGTGGCACCATCTTCAAACTGAGGTGTACTGCTTTCCCGCACGTCCCTTTCCCGCTCTGGTGTGGAAGCACCTGTTCTGCTGCGATATCATCGCCCAAGTATCGCAGATAAAATTCTAGGAATAGTATCGTACTACTCCAGCGATAAAGTATCGCTCCGGTGTGTACAGGGCTTTATGTAAGTAAACCTTACTTAGTCCACATTTAGACCTACCTCAGCTCCAAGCTCTGTAAGGGTCTCAATAAGCACAGCTGTTTGAACCGTCATGTGCAGACACCCAGCGATTCTAGCTCCCTTCAGGATCTTCTGTGGCCCGTACTTGGCACGAAGCGCCATCAGTCCAGGCATCTCTTTCTCTGCCAACATGATCTCCTTTCGACCCCACTCTGCCAGGTTGACATCAGCTGTAGCAAAGAAATAATGAATAGGTTATTTATTCATTTATTCATGTAAATTGTCACAAATTACACCATACAGAGGAGTTTCCTCAATGGTAGATGACATGTCAAAATGATACAAAAATGTTAAAAACTAAATTAATGTAACTTAAACATAATGAGAAAACAAACTCTCCACATGAACCATTTTACAAACCACTATTACTATATAAAATGAAATCCTCTACTGAATAAAACATATGGCTCTTTAGATAGTTAACAAGTTTTCTTTTAAATGCTTTGGCAGAAGATTCATTGCGAATATGAGAAGGTAGTTTATTAAATAATCGGCTGCCTGTATAGAATGGTGTCTTTCAAAAGCTGCTGTTCGATGTATCGGCAAAGAAAGATTACAATTACGTGTAGGATAGTTATGTGTAGATTTTAAAAGAGTGAATTTGTGAAAATTTTCTTTAACAAATAGAAGGGTATGTAGAATGAAAATGCAAGGTAAAGGCAGAATATCTAGTTTCCTGAAAATTGGTTTGGATGATGCAGTATAGGGGGAATTTGTCATAGCACGGACAATGCTTTTCTGAATCTTAAATATTGCTGGAGAAGACTGTGAGTTGCCCCAAAATATCACTCCATATGTTAAGTTTGAATAGATATATGCATAGTAAACCATTTTCAAAATGTTTATCTCCAGGATTTTTGATAAGTTTAGAATTAGAACATGACCTTTATGGAGAATTTTTGATAAAAAATTTACATGCTCATCCCACTTCAAAGAAGGATCAACGTGTAACCCTAAGAATTTATAACTATCTGCTGTCTGCAATAAGGGTTTGACATAAGAGTCATCAGAGTATTTTGAATTGGAGTAGTTGGAATGAAAATTAATAGCAAAAGTTTTATTTTTATTTAAAAGAAGGCCATTAGCTTTAAACCAAGAATTCATAGCAGATAAGTCATTTTCTAGCATTTTAAATAAATTAACCCGGATGGGGTGTTTACATAAAAGAGTAGTATCATCTGCATATGTTATTAATTTGGAGTTATGAACTGCATTTGGTAGGTCATTAGCAAAGACTAAGTAAAGGAATGGTCCCAGAATTGATCCTTGAGGGACACCAGCTTTAACAATGGAATAATTACTTTGAACAATATTATTTATTTTGACTGATTGTTTCCTATTATCCAGATAGGACTGAACCCAGAGAAGTGCATTACCACTCACCCCATAGTGATTCAATTTTTTCATGAGCAAGTCATGGTCAACACAGTCGAAGGCCTTCGACAGATCACAGAACACTCCGACTGTGTACTGCGATCTATCAACAGCCTCCGAAATGCCCGAAACAAACTCATAAATTGCCTTAGTTGTATTTCTACCCTTCCTGAAACCAAACTGGTTTTCACAAAATATGTGATTGCTCTCAAAAAAATAAGATAATCGGTTTAAAGCTACCTTCTCAAATACTTTAAAGAAAGTAGGGAGGATGGAGATAGGCCGATAATTGTCCAAAACTGAAGAATCCCCTTTTTTTAAAACAGGGTTAATAACACTATATTTAAGTATATCTGGGAATTTATGATGGTCAAAAGATCTGTTAATAAGAATTGATAAAGGATAACAGAGTTTATCAGAACAAGCTTTGACTAAAAAAGATGGAATGCCATCCCAGCCAGCCGATTTTGAAGACTTAAGACTTTTTATGACATTAAAAATTTCAGATGAAGTTGTTTTCTTAAAATGAGACATATTTACTAATGGAGTATTCACATTCGCAAGGAAGGCTCTTACGTCATCTACATCTGTACTCAAGTTCAAATTATTACATGTATTTACAAAAAAATTGTTAAAAACTATTGCAATATCATGAGGCTTCTTATGTGTAATGTTTCCATGATGAATAGATGTGATTGTTTTGTCTTTACTATTGCCTTGCTCAGCTTTAATTATATCCCATGCAGCCTTTGTTCTGTTATTTGATTTTTCTATAAAACTATTGTTGTAATTAAGTTTTAATGATCGAACACATTTTTTGAAAATTGCTTTGTATTCCTTAACCCTTTCAGTGCTAGGCCAATAATTCATATTTTGTAAGACTTTTTTGTTTGCCTTTTAAATCCATTACCTGTTGTTGAATTTTAACTGTCATGTTGTCACTATTTTATTAATTAGGCTAATTTTGAATAATAACACAACAAGAAAATATATAAGAAAGATAAATCCCGCTATTTGTAGTAAACATTAAATAAAACTTAGTTTTTGTTGTAGTTTTCCTGGTTTTCCTATAAATTTTTATGTTCTGATAGCATTATTTGAAACCAAAATCTCATAAAATCAAAAGACATATAGTTTACAATGTAATATTGAATTTAACCTTGATTAAGTTGGACAAGGTTATCGTAATATAGCCATTTTAGGGAAACTAATGTTTTGCAGCAAAGTCTCAGGAACACATTTATGATCACTGTTGTGTTTAAACTAAAAGATTGCATCTAAATAGTCCGTGACTAACCGGTGCTGCTACCTAGTAACGCATTGAACAACCATCTGCAGCGCCATCTGTTCGCAATCGGTGGCGACAGCTTAAATACCGGGTTTTGACTCCCCAGTCTTCAAGCACAGATAGCCGAGAAGGCTAGGGCGTGTGTCACTTGGCCAGTGGCATTCGTCTGCTCGGGTTCGAATCCCGTCCTGTGTGGCAAATAATTGGTGACCTGTGTGTTTGTAGCGATATACTACAACCACTGGGGCATAGTGAGGTGTTCATAATCCTTGGTTTAGACATACACCTCGAAATCATCGGATTGGGCGAATCTTTTAGCTAAGTGGTTGATAGTGTATCCTATGAACATGCAGGTCACCAATGGCCGTTTTGCTATTTTTTGTTAAAATAACCTTCCTCTCTATATCCCTTAGAGATTTTTTAAAACAACGATATATCGTTTCATAGCACTGAAAGGGTTAACATATGCTAGAAACTCTGGGTCTCTGTTGATATTACTGAGTTTGTGCAGATATCTTTTTTTCTGACTCGACACCTGAATACCTTTAGTAACCCAGCCTTTAAGATTAAAGTTCCTAGCTTTCCTCGAGGTCTGAAATGGAAAAGAGTCATCAAAATAACTTATGAAAACGTAAATGGCTTTAAAGTTCCCATGTTATCCTTATGAAGAACATAATTGTTTACATTTTGATCAGCTGTATAATTTAATTGCTGTTATTTATTTTTCAATTCAACAAAACGCATTGGGCACATTTACTGATTTTGTTGAAATTAAATATTTACTACTTTAATTTACATTCGTACATATTACAATGTAAACAATCGAGAAAGCCTGGGCAATTTGATATATTTTACAAAAAAAGAAAAATGAATTGACAGGGTACTGTATTTCTTGAGCAATCATTGAAAGAACTGATTTTTTAACCATGGAAACATAGGAAAGTCATAGAACGCCACCAATTAGAAGAAATAGAGATTTAAAAAACCCATTTACTATTGTTATTATCCTATACAGGGTGAGTTTCTACTGACCGTGTTAACTTCGCCAGTGGGTTCTACTCACTAAAAGGAACAAAAAAGTTCCTATAAACCCATGTCCGATTTTCGACCGTTTGGCTGTTTTGGGGGATTTTGTGTTTTTCTTATTTTATTAGACTTTGCTCCACAATTTATGTAATACAAACTTAACCAATTACTTTAGAGAGTTATAGTTAAAATCATTGGAAAGAACATTAAATTTGCTATAAATCAAAGGTTTCATTCAACAATTATACCATTACATAGTCCACGTTATAACCAAAATAAAGTAAAAATGTCATTAAATTAATTAATTACGGTAATTTTCATGGGCCTCCTTTGATACATAAACCTGCATTTATGCAATGTTGAAATGCATAAAAAACTTGGCATTTTAATAATCTTTCAAATGATATGCTATTCAATACTATTATTGATATAAACCAGTGAGAAATTACTAATAAACTTCAATAAAACACGGTTTACAGATTTTGTTTTTGCACAGTTTTACTGAATAGCTCACATTCCCGATTAACATTAAAGCATATTCTTATCTCAAAAATCCTTTCGGGCTCCGCCCCAGTGGCTCTGTAGTTCCCCATGTTAACCTTATGATTTTTCATATTTAAAGGGAATTAATGAATCTTAACAGCTGTTTCAATTAAACAACTTGGTTCTGTTCTATGATGTTCAATAGCATCAAAGTTACAAGGATTACCAACAGGGTGCAGCAATATTTTTTTTTTTTATTTATGACAACAGCTAATTTCCAACCAAAAGGTGAGTGAGCGTAGCGAACGAACTTCAACCTGGAGGCGAGTTAGCGTAGCGAACGAGCTAACGAGCTCCAACCTAAAGGTGAGTGAGCGTAGCGAACGAACTTCAACCAGGACGTGAATGAGCCATGCGATTACTTATGAAGTTAAACGGGGCAAAGCCCGCGGGTACAGCTAGTCTAATATAAATTATGATTAAGTGAATAATAATGGTGCGTGCTATATCAGGTAGCCTATTCAAATGCCTTCAAATTTGTCATTAACTCCCCACATTACTGTCGTTAAAAGAAAAAAACTCAAATAATAGAAATGCAAAACTTAAATCCACCAAAGCCGTGCAACGGAACCAGACTGATGATTTTAAAAAATGACACCAAACTTGATCGAAGCAACAATCATTAGTGGTAACTTTAAAGGAGAAATAGTCTTAATCCCAAGAATACTGATGATTTCATCCGAATTACCCTTTGAATTCAAGCGACTACAAATTCCATTGCGTCATGCTATTGCAATCACCATTATAAGGCACAAGGACCCCCTGACTATCGCCAGTTTAAATTTAGAAAATGCATGCTTTTCATACGGACAGCTGTATATTGCGTGCTCACGTGGTGGTAGGTACGCCTACAAACTTACCGGTAGCCTACTTTACACCTAATGAAAAAACAAAAACTTTGTTTATCCACTGGCAACAAAGTAAAATAAATATTCTATTTTTGTTTTTGGTACCTATACATTTGTATTATTTATTGTAAAGAACAAATTAGGTACCATTTAAAATAATAGTTGTTAGCGCAGCAATGCGCGCCGGTTAACTGCTACCACCTGGTAGTTATATTTTTAAATCATAAAGACTATGGTTTGAAAATATCAATATAAGCTTACACAGGCCTACTCGTTTTCGCCAGAATTCCTGGGAAATCTGATTATGCCTTACACAAAATTTGGATCTTGGACGCATTCAATAAAAAAAAAAAATCCAGAAACTTAAACAAAAAAAGTTCTGGGTGAAATATCAAAAGTAAATTAGTGTAACTTACTGACAAAAAAAAATGTTTATTCAAAAATCATTAGGTCTATTACATAGGTATCTATATAAAACCCATGCACTTTTGAGAAAACTAACTCACAGCCCCATAAACCATATATTTCACATAAAATGTTCGTCATGACGAGAAACCTTGCACAAAACTATCCATTATTCCATAAATTTCCCTTTAAGGTTGTAATTCTTTCTATATAGGCCTACCTTATGTTAAAAATACCTCAGCTGTACTTTTGTATGAGCTTTCAATTTATTACCTTATTTAAATCAGGTGTAATTATTTGTTTGTATTACTGTATTCTGTTTTGTTTATTTCAGCTTAACTTAACCAATCAATAGTTTTATTAAAACTCTTATGAAGTAAAACGGGGAGAAGCCCGTGGGTAACAGTTAGTATATCTAGACCAAAATTTGTTCCCTATATAAGAAACTCATCCTTCACTCATCTCCATTCATATTTGGCTTAAAATATCTACTTTGTATGGTCGCCAATTCATAGAACAGTATTAACAGTATTAAAAAGGTATAGCCTAGCCTAACATGTGTTTAAACAAAATTTCTTTGTCTTGTTTTGTGCTATTCTTTGTGGCAGATCAGAACATGTTACCGGGTACTTTTGACCGGATGCGATCTCACTTTGGAAATCAAGTCAGGTAAGACACTAAGTATATTCTTAGATAGATCTATGTTAGCACCAAAACCCGGGTCAAACGAAATTCACAATAATGGTAGTAAAATGTGTTTTTTTTTATCGGTTAAACTTTATAGCCTAAGTTAGAGCATCATGAATACTGATTTAAACCATCAATATCTCATATGAAATCCTTTATTTCTAGGAGCAGCCTATTTCCAAGACCAAGACATAAAAAATAACTTAAATTTTAGGCCTAACTGGTAGCCTATATTAGGCCCACTGAAAATTAATGAGTGACAACAATAAGTTAAAATTTGGTCTATTTCACTTACCTTAGGGCCTATTAAAAATAATACAATATAGGATAGACTCTAAACAATGATATATACAATATATCATGGTATATACAATAGGCCCTAACCATTTCCCGTAGTTCTGCTTATGTAAGACTTTTGATGCAATTTGTATGCAGGACCTAAGTCAAGTTATGTAATGACTTCCTTGGAGGAAGGTAGCTTTTTCTAAGTAGGATGCCTAAGACTATTAAAGTCTGCATTAGGTAGGCTATATCAGGTTTTGCCAAGAAAATAGAAAAATCAGGCCTATGGCCCATCCTTTAAGTATATTACTTGATACTGTAAAATAAGTTACGATGTAAATGGGGCCCAACGTAATTATTTTGATTTTGTTACCCCCCACGGGGCAAGAACAGACAACATGTTCCTTGCATTAGTTTAAGTTTATCATAGTTGGTATTTTTCCAAGCAAATGCCCTTAATTTCCTTGACAGGTCAATAATTAATTCTTTGGAACATTAATATGAGGATAAGGCTTAATTTCAATTTAAAAATCCCGCTTCTAAGTCCACATGGTTTTTAACCTAAAACATTTACTTAAATAAGACTCGTATCACTTACCGACTTTAAACTGCGGTTTGTTTGGCATATTTTCAGTTTATATTCGCTAGATAAAATTAATATCCTAATCCAAAATATTAATAACTACACAACCGGCGAGTAGAGTTTTCAACAGGGAGAATCGTCGGTTACGATAGAAGTAGAGATGGAAAAGTGTGTGTGTGTAGAAGACTAGAGACTAGACACAGACAGACGACGATACCGCGGTACCGAACTGAAGAAGAAGAACTAGAAGTGAAATTAGTGAAGTAGAAGCATGGTGGCAGGAAAGTACAAGGTGAGTGAAGTGAAGACCGAAGAAAAAGAACGAAATCGTCAATAATCGAATCGAAATCAGTAAAACATGGTAAAACCATATATAAAACATACTCCCTTAGTAGATTTCTCATCCTTATGGAACTGGGGCCCTATTTTTGAAATGGTTGACAGTTGAGTCAATCGTCAGCACTTAACTCAACCAACAACATGATTTGGTATTTTTGAAACCCAACAGTTGGGAAGCGAGTTGGGAATCACTAGTTGAGAGACTCGTGGTGGAAATGTAGAGCATACGACCGTCAAAAATTCAGATGACGTCATTTTGAACCAATCACAATGCAGAGTTCTTGCGGACTTCGATTTAACCTCTTCTTACTCTAAAGCCTGTGTCACACTTGGCTACTTACTAGCAGCTACCTAGTAGCAGCTACTGAAATAGCAGCTACTTTTCCTGTCACACTTATTTTGGTAGCGTCTATTCACTAGCTGCTACTACTAGTTTAGCTCAAGAGAGGTTATGTCCCAAAGACACGGATATTTTTTATACAGGTTCAAAAAATTAATCACATCTCCCCCACCCCACTTCGGATCACTCATGATTACTTCAGAAATTATTCAAAATGAACGAGAATAAACAAATCAGGCAGACAGCACGTGGTGCAAGTAGCCGCTAGTCTGCTATTGAAGCTGTCACACTGGGCGACAGTCGCTACTTGATAGCTGCTAGTTGGTCACGTGACTCACTAGCGCAGTTTAGTAGCACGGAAAGTTGGACATGTTCAACTTTCCATGCTAGTAAAATTTCACTAGCGCGCTACTCTTAGTAGCTGCTACTGCCTATGTCACATTGGCTACTTAGTAGCTGCTATTTCGCTAGCTGCTAGTAAAGTAGCGTAGTGTGACACAGGCTTAAAATCTGGCAGCTAATCTCAATCCAATCTGCCATATTTCGAGACACTGAGGTAAACTGTCAACTCCGTTCTAGAGAGATTGAGGTTATAATGGGTTATGTCTTGCTTAATTTAATCTTAGTGATTGCAAAGTACCTTAACTTATATAGGCTAAACTTAAGTATTAAAAATAAAATTTACTATGGATGTTTGTTTTAGGGTGTAGCTAATTATAAGTTTAGGCATAGGCTGCACTTTACTTTAGGTCCTACACTCATCCTAAATACATTATTAATTGCTTTCTTCGTCTCTATTTCGGAACACATCACCTTATTTTAGTTTCCTTCATCGGTTTGTTTTATGTTATTTTTAATTGTTTTTTATTTAGGTTAAAGCGGCCATTTGCCATTGCACTGGAAGCATATCGTAACTTAAATTAATTTGATCCCTTTATTAGGTGAATGGTATTGAAACAAACTATGATATTGTTTCTCTCTACACCAATCTTTAATACCTTAAATCATAGGTCTAATAACAATAATTATCTTATAATAAGTTCAATTAGTATGCCTAGTCTATTTCAAACATTCCAACAAGATTAAAACCCTTGATTAAATAGTCTAGTATTGACACAGTAAATAAAATTAAAATGCGATTATTCTACAGAAAACAATCGCATAATTGGGTGCTAATACATTGACAACAAATACATAACCTCTAAATCGCAATTAGTAAATTAAAGCAATAACAAAACAATATGGCGTCGTCTCAAAAAGAGTAATTTTTTGCCGAAAGAGAGGAAGAAGAAAGTGCAGTCAACCTCCACTCAACAGCTCGATAGGTGTTGAGTAGTTTTGGTTGTATAAGTCCACCGTCAACCGTTTCAAAAATACGAAACGATTGGAAATAGAATGACTCGACACTCAACTCAACAGTCAACCATTTCAAAAATAGGGCCCCAGCTGAAGACAATTTTATTGTTAGTTCCGTACGGTTTATGTAGAGGTCGTGTTTTGTTTACAATTTGTTTCCCGTTATTACAGCCATTTAAAACCTCGTTTAACCAAATAATACGATCTAATCATAAACAATAACCTGTCCCCTAGTTATATAACCAAACAGTAAAGCACAAATCAAGAAATTAACCCTAAAATAATAGAAACAAAGTTTCGTCGACACTAGCGCCCATGTGTCACGTACATGAACTAGACACGAAAAACGTGCTTCAAAATTTACAATGGGATGAGAAGTCTACTTGTGTTGGTTAGTCAATGGTAAAACAGGCAGAGTGACAAGCTATGAGGTGCAGTGTCACCAGAATGGTTAGGATTCACTTACACTACTACGAGTCGTAGACACTATGAGCCTCCAACCATGTAATTCTTAAAACACATGGCTCACTTAATCTACAGATCATAGTCTGTACGGGCCTATCGAAAATATACAATAAATTAGGAGGGCTCACTTACCGTACTTTACGGATCATGGTGCGTATGAGCCAAACGATTGGATTAATTTTCATTTCAGGAATAAGCTCGTATATTATAAGAGCCAAATTACTGAATTCATACAAATTACAGGAAGAGGCTCGTATATGCTACGAGCCTATTTAATTATAAATATCATAAAATATTGCTGAAGTTAACTATTATTAAATGGGATCAGGAGAAAATCGCAATATCAAAGCAGCAGTTAATATTAATCCATCTTTAAATGGCCGGGTTTTTAGCTGATATATTATAGAGTTTACAATCAATATTGACGTTTTAGTGTCATTTTAAAGAGCTCGCTCTGAAGTTGTGTGCCGTCATAGCCGTCCCTAGTACTCTCCCAAGAAATGTATACAATCTACTCCATTCATAATGATAAGAAACGTAGACCGTAGACCTATATTATTGCTATATTTGGAGGTTGCTATAGGAATTAATTTTCCTTCGACAAATGAACAGTTTGCGTTTTCGGTCAGGTCGATCGGACAACGCAATCCTAGTGTGGCCCACACAAAACAGCTATTGTAAATAATGACAATAGCACTTATTTAAGAATTAAATTTACAGCAATTAATTAAGAACACTTATTTTTCTTTGAAAAGGACGTTTCATTGTAACAATAAAATACAAACTAATAATAAAGTGGAACACTAGAGGTTTGTTACCAAAATACTCCTAAATACTGTACAGCTAATAGATATTGAGAAAACAAATTTCAGGGAGATTTCAAATAACTAATTGCATATACATTACACTCTACAATTTGTATTGATTATAGTACTGGTTATACTATGATCCTTACCACTGACGAGATAATGTCATCCACTGTCTCGTGACGTTGTGATCATATGATAAAATTTGGGTGGTGACTGGTGAGACCGAGGAAGGCCTACCAGAAAGAAACCAAGTGTCAAATCGTTTTCCGAAATAGTACTAAGTTCCAAACAACTCTTTCAAAATGATGCAAGGATGTATGTTTAATGTAGACGGGGGATATTTAGAAGGACTCTGCAGAGGGTTTAAATGTGGAATATTGAAGCAGGCTGATTATTTGAACTTGGTGCAGTGCGAGACGCTTGAAGGTAAGAATTTGTCTTAGGCATAGGTAGTCGTTAAATGGTTTCCTTTACTTTTAATTATATACTAGCCTAATTTATAAAAGGTCAGCAAAGGTAATATATCAAAATTAGGCTTAGGCCAATAGGCCGTAATAACGTTTCCTATTATACAACTAGGGTATATGGTAGGCCTAGCCTAGGTCTCGCAGCCTTGGTCTCCCTAGACTTGGGTTTCAATTCTCCCTAGACTAGTTTTGGGAACATAGTTTGGTGCACACTTTAAAACAACCTTCAAATGAAAGATATGTTTATGTAACTTAGGTACCTTCGATATTTTGATTTAACCTTGACTAAGTACATTGTCTTTTTAAGAGCCATTTGAAAAGTTAGTTGGTACCTAGGCCTAGAGCCATAAAAAAAGTGTAAGATGTTTTAACACGTTCGCTGCTGACCTTCCGTGATCACAAACATCTTCGGCGATTCTCCCGCGAGTGGGGCGAATTAGAAATTTCTTCTTTGATTATGAATAGGCCTACATTATGAACATCTTCTGAGATCACAGTGGCATTATGAATATCTTACACAATAATGGAGACATTATGTACAACTTCTGATATCACAGAGGCATTATTAACATCCCCCATGATCACGGATACATAATGATCGTCTCCCGCATTGGCAGCAAAATACTAAACATCTTTTGCGATAAGATCCTTTCGTCAAGGGGAGGGGTTATGACCCCTAAAATCTCCCACTTTGTCTAAGCCACTGCCTAAAGCCTGCTCATAGGTGCCGGGAATTCTGGTTTAAGTATGACGTTCTAAAATATTGAGATGATTTGATTGATGAATATATAGTCTACGTGCCCCCGTTGATTGAAAAATGTGCTCATCAAACTGAGCCTGACAGTTGTCCCTTCTGTAGTTGCGCATGCAGACTAAGGCTAGGGCCAGATTCATCTTACCTCATTGAATTTTTTCCACGGGCGTTACCCGTGGGTTTGAGAGACACGAGTAGGCCTAATAAAGTCTGTTAACACGTTTACCAGTCTCAGATCAACCAGATTTGCACGTGTATTCTCTACTAACATGCCACGGGCATTGCGGCTTATGGGAGTGAACACACTTATCTTATCATTCTGAATTTTTACACGGAAGTTCTAGTTTTAACCTAACTGATTTACTGTGCAGTGAGCTCGAAGAGGGGGGGGGGGTGGGTTTGCGGATCACGGACGGGACAGATGATTTAATTGCTAGTGTGCCATGCTCTACCAGTCACGCTGGTTAGCCCGAAAAACGTACCTATCTCGCAAAAAGAGTACGGCCACAGTCAAACTCTTTTTACGTGTATCAGAAATACCAATCTCGCTGTTTAAATATTACAAACGTGTAGCCCCGGCCTAAAGCCCCGTTCACACGGGGCGAGTTTACAAGCTACAAGCCGGATTTTTTACACGCAGCTAGTAAAATAGCTCAGTGTGAACGACGTACTCGCTCAAAAGCTGCTTGCAAAAAAACTCTGGAAAAAGTTGACACAGCTGCTATTTTACACGCCAACTCGCCAGCTTTTGAGCGAGTAGGCGTGTAAAGTAGCCCATTGTGAACACAGTTGCTTGTGCTTGTGCGCATGTTATTCGAAGATGTCGGAGGATTTAGTTCAAGCCAGCTACTAAGCGAGTGGAAAAACCATCGTGTGAACAACTACAAGCGCACTCGCTGACTCGCCGGCTTCCTTCTACACGTTGGCGAGTTGGCAAGTGGACAAGCTCTGTGTGAACGAATACAAGCGCACTCGCCAACTCGCCGGCGTGTAAGAAGCCAGAAGAAGTAGCGCGTAAACGAGGCTTTAGCCTCTTTTGCTGCTGCACATTTTTTGTTTGTTTTTAACCTGCGCGACAAAATATTCATTTGGTCTATTGATGTAGGCTACTATCCCCAAGTAAAGTGTGATGGGAAGTAGTGAATTAATTATGTTTTACTACTCTTGGTGTCAATAACTAAAATTTTGGCTTAATTTATTCCTCCTGTTTATTAAAACAAAAAGGGAATTCGATCTGTTACCCTAATCTTTTATGCTGTACACTCTTTGTTAGGTCAGATGTAACTTTGTAATTTACATTAGACAAATAAATAGGCGTATAATAAATTAAACTTAGTTTTTTTTCATACAAATTTTATGCAGACTTAAAATTTTTTCAGACTTAAAACTTCACCTCCAAGGCACTGATTATGGCAGCTTTTTGGCGAACGAACCAAGCCCTCTTGCTGTCTCAGTTATTGATGACAAACTCCGTGAAAAACTTGTCATTGAGTTCCAGCATCTCCGCAATCATGCTGTTGAACCTCTCTCCACTTTTTTGGATTTCATCACGTAAGTAGTTAATAGACATGTTTTAAATAGCCTACAATATAAACATCTTACAATTTTTTTAGTGATGTATGAACCAGAAATTTTTGATCGAGCTGAGCTTGAGTAGTCCAACCAAGCTAACAAATTTGATCGATTCAAGCTTAGGTAAACATTTACAACTCACATGTCACCCTTGGAAACACACTCCTGGAATTAAAAAGTTTATAAAATAAAGTCCTGGAGAATAATAAGTGTGGGAAAAGCAATTTTGGTCCCAAAAATGGACCAGAAAATATCTCGGCCGCAGCAAACCTGCCGACTAAGCAAATTTCCATTTGTCTGGATTGGCTTCATAGTAGGCAAGCCGCCGTCTCTATTTCACCCGCCAGTGCAATACTCTAAACTGCTTACACATCAAGATCATACATCATGCATAGTAGATCCTGGAATTGCATCCTATTCAATACCATGGTGCGATCCTGAATTTACTATGCCATACATTGAAAGTGATTTCAGTGATAGTGAAGACGAACTGTTGCTGTTATTCAATATGTCAAAGAACTAAATGAATCCATCTAATTAATTGAAGAAGAACACAATTTGGCAAATTCCACCATCTAATGAATGACCTAATTGATTACGAAAAGTTTAGATCTTATTACAGCCTGAAGGGTGACGGTGACAGCTCAGGGCGCTAGTGCACATTTGTGATTTCACCTTTTGGTGACACGAACGATGCGTAGCTAGATTCCATAGCGGTAGCGACGTCACTCACTTGTTATTACGGCAGTGAATATGCTTATTTAAATAACATTTAGAGCTACGTCAGCAACTTCTTCTTAAGACATCTGCTGAGGCCGGTGTGACAGTCCTTTGAACAATTTCAGGTACCCAACAAACTATGTGTAAGGAAATATATTAGGGTATTCGGCTTGAGCTTGATATTTTGACTTGGCATTCGATTTCTCAAGCTTGTAGGCTAGGCTTGATTCCTCTCAAAAATTCAGCTGCTCGTTCTCCTCTAGTTTAGATGTACTATTTTAAATCTTGATGGTTTTACCCAAGTAGCAAAGTTTATTGTGACGTGTAGTAAAAGATTGGTTATGTTACAGGTACAGTTACATGATTGACAACATCATTCTGCTGATTACTGGGACGCTGCATCAGAGGCCCATCTCTGAGCTGATACCCAAGTGCCATCCGTTAGGCAGCTTTGAGCAGATGGAGGCCATTCACGTGGCGGCTACTCCAGCCGAGCTGTACAACGCCGTCTTGGTGGACACTCCTCTCGGTAGGCACTCTCAACTCTGCTTTTCATAATCATTATCTTTACTTTAAGACAACAATGTCACCTATCTTTTTTTCGTGGACCCAAGGGTTGGCAGGCTATTATCCACAGGTGATGTTGCCTTCATCTTATTACTGCTACTTAACTGAATGAACTTACATTTTCTTTAAAACAGACAAATGAAATAAAGCATTGCAATATCGTGGTAGCCTATCGTTATAAATGTATTGGTTTTACACAATAACTATACCGGTTATATAATACAGTACACTTCTTATTAATCAGAGAGTTTCTTGGGACTGGGACTACCTCTTGGATAACATGGCGGTCACTTAGATTTCTAGGTTAGGGGTTACCCATCCATTAGGAAGACAAATACTTGTAAAAAATCTTATACTATAATACGAGGAAGATTTGTGTGCACAATGATCTCAAAAACGCCCCAACGAGATCCTCTTTTAGTTATTAAAAATATCTTGGTTTTAGGCTATAAATTATGTCTATACTAGGTTCTGTTGTGGGAAAACTAGTGTTCTGTTAAAAAAATTTAAAACAAAATTTTTTTACATTCCTTATGGGTTGAAAATTTTTTTAAAGAATGTAAATTAAACTAGAAAATTAATAAATACTGTACAAAAGAAAAAGCCATTTAGATGAATACCATTGAATATAATCAGGGTGTATACCAACCGGGAAAAACATTGAATTTGAAGTAACCTGGAAAACTGGGAGAAAATACAGGGGCTTCAGAGCCACTCCGGAATATTTATTTCGTCCACTAATAACTGTGTGATTGTGTTTCCCAGGCCTACAAGCTCGAGTGATTATACACAAATTCGGAAAATTTAGCTCGAGCTGAACTTTTACTATCGCGATTGTAAAATGTTTCTGTATTATTAGTACAGTTTAGAAGATTTTTAGTAATTTCAATTTAAAAAAAATATTTTGTAGTAAATGTTTCTTATTGCTAATGTAACCATAGACAATAGACTTTACCACTATTCATGTACAAAAATTGTGTAGGCACTGATATGATGAATAAAGACTTTTGAATCCTGCAAAGTTCGCACAATCAAAAAATTCACATTTCTGCTGCGGTCTGGGAAGACTAAGATGATGTTTTTTAATGACTGCGGGAGGCGACAATAATGTATACAAACCAAAGAAAATATTGATATTCAGGATTTTGCTGGATGGCGGATGATGATGATAACGTTTCTGTGACCGCGGGAGACTATGATGATGACCACATGACCACACCACGGAAGGTATTCAGGATTATGCCGCCGATGATAATGTTTCTGTGAACGAGATATTTAGGATTTTGTAGTGATGGCGGATAAGGATGATAAAGTTGTTGTAACCAAAGGAGACTATGGGCCCTTTCACACGAGGCCACTGGTGGCGGCCACCGGCAGGGAAACTGCAGTGGATGATACAGGCAACTTACAAGCCACTCTACTACAGCCACTGTACAATGGTAGTTGTGAAAATGCTGTTGAACAATGAACATCTCCTTCTTCTCGCGTTGATAATAAAGAAAATAAGGCAAAGACACAGGCGTACTATACCAAATTGCCAGTTACTTTTCAATTTCGCAAATTAGATCTTCAGTATTCACTTTGTCTTCTATTATTTGGTTTATTATCATATTCTGTTGTTTTCCTTTGTCTTTTTCAGCAACGTCCTCTTTATTTTTCTTCTGATCACTCATTTTCACAAACAAACAAGTCAACACGAAAACGCTCAACAACTACCATAGTGCGTTTGTCTTTGCAGTATGCACGTGAACTGATTCAAAATAGTAGCTGCGCGCTCATCCACGGTGGCGGCCACTGGTTGCTACGTGTGAAAGCTCCCATTTAATTCAATGCCCCGCGACGAGTTGACGCCACTGCAGTTGCCGGCGGTTGCCGACTAGCAGTTGCGCGAGGAGACACTGCTCGGCCACTGTGTAGTGGCGGGCAACTGCAGTGATTGCGTGTGAAAGCTCACATTTAAAATAATGTTAAAGCTGTGGCAGGCAACCAGTGGCGGCAACCAGTGGCGGCCACCGGTGGCGGCCACCAGTGGCCTCGTGTGAAAGGGCCCTATGATGATGACCAAATGATTACACCACGGGAGGTATTCAGGATTATGCCGCCGATGATAATGTTTCTGTGAACGATGGAGATATTTAGGATTTTGTAGTGATGGCGGATAAGGATGATAAAGTTGTTGTAACCGAGGGAGACTATGTTGATGACCACACCACGGAAGGTAATCAGGATTATGCCGTCGATGATATTGTTTCTGTGAACGATGGAGATATTTAGGATTTTGTAGTGATGGCGGATAAGGATGATAAAGTTGTTGTAACCGAGGGAGACTATGATGATGACCACACCACGGAAGGTAATCAGGATTATGCCGCCGATGATAATGTTTCTGTGAACGATGGAGATATTTAGGATTTTGTAGTGATGGCGGATAAGGATGATAAAGTTGTTGTAACCGAGAGAGACTATGATGATCACCACACCACGGAAGGTAATCAGGATTATTCCGATGATAAATTTTTTGTGAACGATGGAAATATTTAGGATTTTGCAGTGATTGTGGATGAGGATGATAACATTTCCGTGACCGCGGGTGGCGACAATAATTTATACAAAACACGGGAGATATTCAGGATTTTGCAGTGATGGCGGATGAAGATGAAAAAGTTTTTGTGACCAGCTCAATGATTTAGATCAGTACTATATTTCGGTGGCTCAGACAAACTATGACGATTTTTATTCAAACACTATTGAAAAAATTTACATAAGATTGAATGTCTAGTTGTGTAAATAGTCAAAGGTAATACTCATTAGTACTCGCCCTTTGAATTGCTGCCTATTTTGTTTACCAACTAACACATTAGGCCTTACTTCTAATTGCTCCTTTTGTATGGTGTACTTAAATATTGTAAATTTAGTTTTTTTACTGTTATTTCTTCAACTTGCAGTAAAACAGCTTCATACTGAGAAGAAGCCTATCAATAATGATGATTTATTTATTTTATTTACAGCTCCATTTTTCGTGGACTGTATCAGTGAGCAAGATTTGGACGAGATGAACATTGAAATCATCAGGAACACCTTGTACAAGGCGTACCTGGAGGCGTTCTATGAATTCTGCAAGAAGCTGGGCGGCACCACCGCAGACGCCATGTGCGAGATATTAGCAGTGAGTTGGTGTAATTTCTTGGCTTAAGTTATTAAATAGATCTTGTGAAATATTGTGTTGTGATTAGCTGGCAACAGTTTTACCCCTAATTAACCTGGATGGCAACGGAAGTCTCTAGATTCCTAGAAAAGGCCAGTTCAACTAACACATTTTAAAATCTAGGGTAGATAGACCGGTCAACGTCTTTTTACGCTCAGACAAAGAAATTTCATGTGAGCAGCAGATGATCCAGAGTCTGTTAAGATAGACTTTATTTTGTACATCACATGATTCCTTGTTACCCCTTTTTGGATCAGATGACTCAAAAAACAGGGCAATCAAACTTTGTTTCGAGATAGGGTTTATCACCTTACTCCAGCTCTTCCCTTTCTATATTTTCTTCCAGGTTTCCTATGCTCTTTCCTCTCATTTGTTGTCCCAGAGGTTCCAGTCCAGATTTGGTCTTCCTACTGCATCCAGCTCTTTCTGTAGGTTGAGAGCTAACCACTGTCTCTTCCTTTTTATCGTTCACTGGCAGCAATCCATATCTCCAGGTCATAATTTCACCCAAGCGTATGCAAATTGTTATTTGGCATAGGCTAGTGGTAAATGGTTGAAATATTTATGTCTCAGTTATTGTAGTATTATGAATTAAAGACCAGTTAAGCCTAAATCAACAGTCTCACATATCCCATCCATATTATTTAGTAATGTTTTCCTATCTGTAAAAATTTTGTTTCATGCTTAAAATATGTTTCACATTGGTCTAGTCTTATTAAAAAATTTAAAAAAAGTAACTGCTTCCACACACTGATCCACTAATTGCTGTAACTGCTGCATTAGTTATAGTGTAATACATTAGTTCATTCTGCTTTGACAGTTTGAGGCAGACAGGAGGGCAATCATCATTACCATCAACTCGTTCGGAACCGAGCTGACAAAGGATGACCGAGCGAAGCTGTACCCTCGCTGTGGGAAATTAAACCCTGATGGATTGGCAGCCCTGGCTCGTGCCGACGACTACGAACAAGTCAAGCAAGTCGCTGAATACTATGCAGTGAGTATCACATCAACAGTTTTTATGGGTGGATTGGATCAACAGTTTTTAAATTTGTGATTGGATAACGAAGTGGTATCTAGGTCTACAGGGTATTGAAAAAGTCTTAACACACTTAAAAATAAATTAAACGCAATAAGATAAAATTTTGAAACTTTTACATATCCTTAAGGGTAATCCTTTCATAACATCATCCTACAATTCAACCGGATGTGGAACATGGTGATGAAATGGTTTGATAACAGATTTAAAACCATAGTGTTGAATTGAAATTGAATGTTTTTTTGTTTATTTGTGTTTTTTACGGCAATGGCATTTTTTAATTTTGAAAGGAAATATTGTGAAAGGTATTCATTGACTCTGACTTTTCAGGAGTATAGCGCCTTGTTTGAAGGAGCTGGGAACAACCCTGGGGAAAAGACTTTGGAGGATCGGTTCTTTGAGCATGAGGTAAGTGAAGAACATGATTATTTTAGTTACAGATTTATTGTACTTCTACTTCTCCATTTCTGGAGGAACTTTAAAATATTTAGAATACTAATGGAAATTACAAGGTACATTCACTATAGTGATCGGCGAGACTAGATTTTTCACTTTGAGACAAGATTCTTTTAATTACCGCGGGACAGGATTTTTTTCAGGACGAGATTTAATGGAAGGTTATAAACAAATTAATATCTACTTTTTATATGTTCAGAAATATTTACACGATTTTAGCCTACTCTGTTTTTTAAGGTAGATATTAACTAGTGATGGTTGAATCCAGGAATGTGGAATCTTAATCCTAAAAAAATCGAATCTCAAATCTTCAAATCTCAGTTTTGATTGCATTTTTGGGTAAAGGCTATATTGTAATTAAATATTTTAATTGGAAAACTATAGCACAAAGATTTGTAACACTTCTGATTTAGAATATCACATTCTCCAAACATTCTGGTTAGACACACACCTTTCTAGAGTTTTCAACACCCCTTTTCTCTAGGAACCCATGTTTTCAACTTAGGTTTGCTATATCTGGCGATTTTCTATTGCAATGTAAGTTAGTATATTTCTTTTATGCAAAGACTCAACCAATTAATGTTGAGACTTGAAAATTCAGTGCCTAACTGAACATATACTTATCTTGGAACAACGATTGGCCTCTTAGAAAAAAAGATCTAACTTTAGAGATTCCCAGGAGAAAAATATGAAAAGTAATTAGATAATTAGAATTAAGCTAACTTATCTCAAAAAAAGTCAAGGTCAAGGCCACTGATGGACAACATATTTTGTGTTCTGTGTATTATTTGTGTATCAAGTTATGGTCTACCTGGGACTTTTCTCAGATAAACTAGTCACTATCCCTTCCCTTTATTCTAAAATCTACAATCTTAGCCTTGAGTCTTTCCTTAAACATGCCATTTAATTAGTTTACTTTTAATAAAGATCTTTTACCGTGTTTTTTTTATGCAGGTGCACCTGAACGTGTATGCGTTCCTGCAGCAGTTCCACTTTGGAGTGTTCTTCTCCTACCTGAAGCTAAAGGAGCAAGAATGTCGTAACATTGTGTGGATCGCCGAGTGTGTCGCACAGAAACACCGGGCCAAGATCGACAACTACATCCCCATATTCTAATTGGTATACTCTGTGTAATACACTGTGATAGTGTTCTTTAAAGTACGACCCCTCCAAATTTTAGTTAAAAATCTTGCAAAAAGTGTCATTAATTTGTATTGACCACTTTGGGTGGGTTCACATAATTTTCAAAATGAAAAGCTTTGTTTTGCTCCAAAGTGGATTTAATTTACATAAAGACTTCCTATATAAATAATGTGTATTGCTTCGGTTTCTATTTGTTAACATTTTCTCATGAGAAAATACATAATATCCCTAAAAAATTATCCACACATCAATGTTGATTGGCTTCTTAGTGTTTTTAATGTATTATTAAACAATGGGGTGTAGAAAGGTTTTTTTAGTCCAGTAACAGAACAAAAATCTTGGAGTGTTGATGAAGATTGGATAGTCCTTTATAAGGCCAAGCGCTTGGGTCTAATTTTAACATTCCACTCTTGTGTTTTAATTTTCAATAATATAAAATAGACAATATAAATATTGCACGGTATTGTTATTAACAGTTTTGATTGGGCATAATACAAAATGATTAAACCTTTTTCATTTAACTGCTCAAAAGGTTAGTCAGTTAAAATGTAAATTTTAGATCCAGAGTCGTCAAAAATATATTATTGGTGTATAGGAGAAATGAGTGTTAAATACGGATATTGTTTAATAGCTTTGTTAGATTTCTCAGTAGCCAATTGTACAGCAAGTATCCCAATAGAAAATATAACAGTATTGTTGTAATTAAGATATTATTTGTTGGTTCTTTTATTATTTTGTTGAATGTATATTTGTAAAAAATCTTGTCCTGTGTAAATTAGGTGACTAAAACTTACCTTCAAATTGAATCCTGTTATCACTTGGTTGCTTTGATCATCCCCTCTGTCTTGTGAATAAATAGGTTACAAATAAAGTTATAACAATGTTAAATTATTGATCTTTATTATTATTTTAACCCTTGATGTTTCCTATTCATTAAAGAATAGACATCCTTGTTAATACTAATTGGACCTATTGCGCTGGAAAATAATATTGGCCTGATGAAATGTTACTTTATTGTTGAACAGTGCACAGTTGATGAACGCAAATGCAGGGTGAGATACCTTGTATAGCTTTGTTATTGCTGCTTTGTATTAACTATCTGATCATAATGTAAACAAATCCTAACTTCAATAGGATAAAGTGAAACTTAAAAGAACACTAGGATAGAGCCCCAAAAAACCTTATTTTTCTTTTGATGACACATCTACAGACCAAGACATTTCATTACACCTCTAGGGGTGTGCACCAAGATGTAGTTATTAAAATTAATCTTTTACTTTTTCAAATGAGAATTTAGTAAACTAAAAGAATGATACTGTTTCACCTCATTTTGGCTACTATAAGAGAAATAGAAATCAGAGATTTAAGAGAATTTTTTGAAATTTTACTCTTGGCGTTTTTTCTCCAAGCCTACTCATTTAGGAGCTACAATATGTTTGACATTGGAAAAGGTGGCTTGTTGTGTCATTTTGCCAGATGCAATATGGGACGTAATAAGGTGCACACTTTGATAAAAATCTTTTATGAAACCTCGTTAATGCTCCTATCAATCGAAATAGTTATTTGTGCAACTAGGGGGCAAAGTGAGCAATTGCCTCACTCGAGAGAAATCCTTACTAACGAGCCGTAGGCGAGTGAGGAATGGTTTCTCGAGTGAGGCGATTGCACTTTGCACTCAAGTTGCACATTATATTTTTCCTACAGTTACCATAAAACAAATAAATTTGTAAAGAAACGTGCCTTTACGTTGCAAATCTGGAATGAGACAAAGTAATTAGTGTGAGACACTGCTGAGCGAATTGGCCACTTTGCTTTCTCAAATCAGTGAGAGAACATGTACATTGTTAGGTTACTGCAGGAAAATTAATTTTACGCCACACTACACTGTTATAATGAACTTTCCACACAAGGATTTAGTCCGGAAAACAGCTGTTTGCTTCATCAAATGGAGGTTTACTACATACTACTGTACTGTAAAGAGCTTTTACCGGATACCAAACAGCTGGTTAATTTGGCAATGAGTGATTATAAAAAAAAACATAACCTCTCTTAGAGGATATGAGTGGTGATTGTTAGTCATTGGGAATAGGTCACTCGTTCAAAATGTGTTTACCGGACTCGTTTGGTAATACGGCACTCGACTTTGTCTCGCACAGGAACGACCACACTTGTCTGGTAAACACCTATTTTCCGGACTAGTAACTTAATATAATATTAATATTACCTACGACCATTTTTCAAAGTAGCAGTTTCAGTTCAGTTCTTAGAATTGGAAAGATTCACTTAACAACATTGTTTACTTAATCGCATTGTTGTTTTACTTAATAACAACACTGGTAAAGGACCAATGAGGTTCAAGGATTGAGAGAGAAGAAATAAAATTGTAGTCTTTGAATGTCAACTAATCAGCTGTTTACTGTTTAGACTAATTGAATTGCTAAATTTTAGATTGCTAATTTTAGACTAATTGAAGTGGTGCAAGTAGTGTTTTGTAGAACCAGTGCCGGATGTACCACTAGGCCGATTAGGCCGCGGCCTAGGGCCGCAAGCAAAAGGGGGCCGCAGAGGATTGGGAAAAACATTTTTTAGATAAAATTTTTAAAAAATAATTTATTTTAAACCACCAGTTTGCCGCGATCACAGGTGACCATAATGATGTCTCCGTGGACCGAGGGAGATGTTCACGATTTTGCCGCGGCCTCGGGTGCCTGTGATGATTTCCCCGTGATTGCGGCCCATGGGAGAAATTCACTATTTGGCCGCGGGTGCCTGTGATGATGTCCCGTGATTGTGGCCCGCGGGAGACGTTCATGATTTAGCCGCGGCCGCGGGTGACGGGGATGTGTCCTTATGATCGCAGCTCGCAGGAGACGTTTACGAAGTAGATGCTGTATCGAGTTGTCAATGATGATGTCCCCGTGTGCGGGAGATGTTCACGATTTCGCCGCGGTCACAAGTGTCGATGATGATGTCTCCGTGATTGCGGTCCGCGGGAGATGTTAACGATTTCGCCGCGGCTGGGGGTGTCAATGTGGATGTCCCCATGGTGGCTTACCGAGGAGGATGTTTACGATTTCGGCACGGCCGCGGGTAACAATGATGAAGTCCTCATGATCGCAGTCCACGGGAGATGTTTTAACACGACTTTGCCGCGATCGCAAGTTTCGATGATGATGTCCCCATGATTGCGGCCCGCGGGAGATGTTCACGATTTACTGCGGTCCCGGATAACTATGATGGCTTTGACTTGGTTTAGGAGAGATGTCCACGATTTCATCCAGGATCACGGGTGTCGATGATGATGTCCCCTTGATGTATAGGAGATAGTCACTATTACTTCCGCCTTCCGCGATCGCAAGGAATTTTCACCACAGGGGGAGGGCCGCTCAAGTAATTTGGCCTAGGGCCGCAAGTACCCTAAATCCGGCACTGTGTAGAACGATTTGTTGCATCACTGTCAGTGGCGATGAAAGGTTATAAACAAAAACATAACCTCTCTTAGAAGTTGTGAGTAGTGATTCTTAGTAATAAAAAAAATTGTCGCAGGTAAAATAGTGTATGAAACTCGCGTAAGTAGTGGTAAGTAGTGGTAAGTAGTGTCTTAACGACACTATATTTACCATCCTAATGCAACTATAATAAACTACTAATCTACCTACTAAAATATTTTTTAGTCATGCTTGTGTAGCCTAAATATAATAAATAAAATGACTTTATTAGCCAGTGTTTAACTGATACATAACAGTTTTTCAGAACAACATTGTCTTCTGTAGGTACTAGTATAGTGCCTCCAACCAAACTTTTGTATATTTTGAAAACTTTAAAAAGTTTTATCTTAAAAGTGTGCAACAGATTTTATGCTCTTGGTCGGGTAAGCCCCGTTCACACGGGGCGAGTTTACAAGCTACACGCCGGCTTTTTTACACGCAGCTAGTAAAATAGCTCAGTGTGAACGACGTACTCGCTCAAAAGCTGCTTGTAAAAAAGCTCTGGAAAAAGTTGACGCTGCCGCTACTTTACACGCCAACTCGCCAGCTTTTGAGCGAGTAGGCGTGTAAAGTTGCCCAGTGTGAACACAGTTGCTTGTGCTTGTGCGCTTGTTACTCAAAGATGTTGGAGGATTTGGTACAAGCCAGCGACTGAGCGAGTGGAAAAAGCGTCGTGTGAACGACTACAAGCGCACTCGCCGACTCGCTGGCGTCTTTCTACACGTCTGCGAGTTGGCTAGTGGACAAGCTCCGTGTGAACGAATACAAGCACACTCGCCAACTCGCCGGCTTCTTACACGCCGGCGAGTAGCGTGTAAACTCGCCCCGTGTGAACCAGGCTTTAGAAGTTATGAGTAGTGATTCTTACTAATAAAAAAAAATTGTCGCAGGTAAAATAGTGTATGAAAGTGAAAATAGTGAAAAGTGTAGTGAATGCAACTATAATAAACTACTAATCTACCTACTAAAATATTTTTTAGGCATGCTTGTGTAGCCTAAATATATAAATAAAATGACTTTATTAGCCAGTGTTTCACTGATACATAACAGTTTTTCAGAACAACATTGTCTTCTGTAGGTACTAGTATAGTACCTCCAACCAAACTTTTGTATATTTTGAAAACTTTAAAAAGTTTTATCTTAAAAGTATGCAACAGATTTTATGCTCTTGGTTGGGTAGTCAAGTGTACAATGCCAACCCATAATAAGAAATATGACACAATCTCAAACAGAAAGCCTCTGGTGAAATTAGTTTGGCTCATGGAGGGTTAGTTTCCCTATGAGTAATGCAGAACGTTGAAACATGACCAAATCTTTCGTGGTAGAATATAAATTATTTGATCGCTGAACTTTGAATCTGCTGTTCTCGGCACATGTGTTCCATAAGTGATACTTTAGCATATGCAGGAAAGCAGTAGTAAACTACTGACAATATCAGTGACAGCACGAGTTGAATTGTGCAGCCTCAGGAAGCATACCTCTGAACCTGTACAGACCTCAGTCTTCCTATTACTATTTTGAATTTGTTCTCCAGATCAGTGTTAATCTTGTGATACCCTCCCTCATAACCAGGCTCAATATATGCAGCTAAGAATTATTTTTTTACACAGCTGGGATAATCTGCAAGAAGTGTACTTTTGGAGTCCTATGAAGGTATAGAGTATACTACATAGATCTAGTCTCTGGCTAGATCTAGTCCTCAAGACAACATAAAGTGTTTAATAATAGGCTTTACCTTTGTCAATGTGAAAGTGTTTCTATACCAGGAGGGAAGTTTACTAGCATATTGTGTAGGTAATACATAATTCCTTTTCTGAAGTATAAAGGCATCCCTAAAGTAGCTTTTATCATTTTATTTTTTATATTACAGAAAACATTTAATACATTTTTGAATTTTTGAAAAAATATAAATAATATAAGAGATAAATTCAAACCAATTCATAACTTTGTTTGCAGTTGTATACTCTTTCAAATGACATCTTGTTTCTACTGATATAGTTACAAAGCCTTAGCAATTCTTGAGAAAGCCTGCAAATTTTGTAAAAAGTGAGAGGGGGGAGGGTGGGTGGTTCACAAGTGGTCGAAAGGTGTTACTTTGTTTCAAGTAGAATCGATATGGATAATTAAGATTAAAATTTCTCAAAATAATACATAGCTAAGAATTTCAAATTTTTCAGTGGGACCTCCCCTTAAGTTTTAAGTGGATATATCCGTTTTAAGTCCCTCTGGACCCAAAATACCCCCGCCGCAGCAAACCTGCCGACTAAGCTAATTTCTATTTGTCTGAATTGATTTTAAATTAAATATATTTAAATAACATTAGGTTTAACGAGTACCTAGGTTTGCTGCTACAAGGAAACTAATAACGTGTGTTTTTTAGTAAGATATCGATAGCTTAGT